TCTTCTAATTCCCCACACAAAATGCTCTTCTCTTTATCTGGAATTGACTCAAACCCTTCAGAGTTTATGGCTTACTGAGACTTCAGAAGAAACCTCAGAATTACACATTTGCAAAGAATCTCTAGTGGCCTCGTCCAACTCTTAACTTGCCTGAGAATCCCCTCCATGGCATCTCTGACTGAGGGAGCCAGTTTGGAGTCTTCACATAAGGGAGGGGGGAGGATCTCACCATCTCCTGAGGCAATCTATTCCATTTTTGGAGAGTTCTAATTGGTAGGAGGTTTTTCCTTTCATCAAACCTAAATCGGTCACTCTGAAACTTCTACCCATTCAATCTTATCCCTTTTCCATGTGACAGCCCTTAAAATACATGAAGAAAGCTATCATGAACCACCCCTCTCCCCTAGTTTTCTCTCCTTCGGGATAAACATCCCTATTTCCGTTGAATAATTCTCATATGAGAAGCAGTGTGGAATTGGGAAGAGAATGCTACCCTTGAAATTAGGAATGCCTGTAATCAGATCTAAGCTTTGACACTGACTAAAAACTGTGTGACCAGTCTCAGTTTCCCTCTCTGTAAACTGTTACTTATAGAATGACCTCATGGGGTTGGTATGGTATGAGGTTCAAATGAGAAAATGTCTATAAATCATTCTGAAGTGCTAATACATGTTAGTTATTGCATACGGCATGACCTTGAGTCCCTTTACCAACCTGGCTCCCTTTCTGTAGGTGCTTAGTTCTAACTTATCAATATCTTTCCCAAAATATAGCTGCCAGAACTGAACATAATACTCCAAATGGAGTCTGATGATTAGAGAAAGATTCAGAAGGGCTATAAACTCTTGATGCACCCTAAGATCTTGGTCCTTCTCACAATGACATGGTAAATGGAGTTTTAGGTAAACCATGAAAATTATCCTATCTGTACTTTCCATACTGTTCTCCTCTGAATTCCCACTCACCTTTCTATATGTTTCTAAGGATGAAAGATTCAGAGCTAGAAGGGACCTTCGAGGTCATCTAAGCCAATTGCTTCATTTTTCAGATGTGGAAACTGAGGCCCACAGAGGTCACATGATTTGCCCAAGGTCAGTTACACTGGCAGGGCTGGGACTTGAGCCAACATTCTCTGACTCTAAAGCCAGTGTTCTTTCCACTGCACTGTCCCTTCTCTTCCTCTTGCTGTCCTTTGAAGTATGCTCTCTTCTTGTCATGTCCCAGAAAGCAGAAGAAGAGATGCCTTCCCAGTCAACTATTATTGGCTAGCTACAACACCCCCTTGAAGCTTTTGAATCTCCCTCCTGTTCCTAACGCTATGGAAGAACCAACAGAGAGAAATAGAAAAGAGGGGCAAGGCACAGAAGAATTAAGTCAAAGGTTTGGTGGACCTCTCGAGTGAGTGGATGAAGTCCATTATATCTCTACTCCTGAGCAGAAGACATAGGTGAGCAATGGTAAAAGTTTAGAGAAGGGAGAATGATCCAGCAAGTGCTCTGAATTCATATCTTGTTCAGCAGCCATTCTGCAAAGACATTGCTGTTTGTTTTTTTTTTTTTTTGCTCTCCATGTAACTTAAGGTATTGGAGAAGATAAAGTGATGAGAAATTGTCCCACTGTCTGCTGATAACTAATGCATAGATACATACTAGTGTTCTATCCTCATGTCCTATCATGCGGGTCATGGAGGTGATCCTGGAATTGCAAAGTTTTATGTTAGGGAAGTGCAGGATCTCACAGGTCCTACCAAGCTAGAATGATCTTGAATGGATGGTCTATGAGTCTATTAAGAGATATACAGCTTAGGTAGGATCATCCTCAGAAGATTGGCCATTATTTTTGGTCAGAGCAATTCATGAAAAATGTCTACTAAGGCATGGAGGAGGCTGCAATTTTTATCAGTTATGGGAATACCCACACTGATGAAATTATCATTCCTTTGAAGTCCTGGAGAAGTATAAAGAGGCATGTGGCTAACATTTGCCCGAGGGAATAGAAAGGACTGGCAGATGTGATTACTGAGTCAGTATCAACAGTCTCGGAAAGATCATGGAAAAGAGAAAAGGCATCAAAGCAGCACGGAAGGGCAAATGTCCCAATTTTCAAAGAAAAGAAGAGAATAGCAGGGGTGGAATTCTTTGATGGAATCCACCCTCCAGGTCCTCAAGTGTGGCCTTTTGATGGAATCCAAACTTCAGGGCCACACTTGAGGACCTAGAGGGCCTCACGTGGCCTTGAGGTCGCAGGTTCCCCACCCCTGGCACAGACTCTGCAAACTAAACTCTGGTGAGCTGGGCTTTGAGTCCTGGAAAATGGTAGAATTTATTACCAAAGGAATGGTTGGTAAGCATGCTGAAAGGGAAGAGATGGTCACACAGGGCCAGGATGGTCTCATTATGAATAGGTCATACTAGACCTATTGGTCTCATTGGTTTATTTTTGTTGTTGGGGCTATTAGATTGGTAGATGAGGGAGATGCTATAGATATGCTATAGATTTTTAGATTTTAGCAAAGCATTTGACAGTTTGTCATCTCTTGGATGAGAGATGTGAGGTACAAAATAGTACAATAATTAGATGGTCTTGGACCTGATTGAATGAGTAATCTAAATGAGTAATGAGTAATCTAAATGAGTAATGAGTAATCTAAATGTAAATTACTAAAGAGTAATCACGAATAGCTCAATGTCAACCAGGAGGGAGGTCTTAAGTAGAGGGCTCCAGGGATCTGTTCTTGGCCCCATTCTTCTTAGCGTTTTTACCAATCATTTGGTTAAAGGTATGGATGGATTTGCTTGAGACCATGCCACATTAGAAGCAGCTAACACAAATGGGGATGTTTAGCATGGAAAAATGAGAAAACATCAAGGGAACATGATAATTGTTTTCAAGGATTTGACAGCCTGACATGTAGAAGAGAGATTATATTTCCTTTCCTTGGTCCTGGAGAGCAGAATTATGAGTGCAAGTTGCAGAGAAGAGCTTGCTTTATTCCACAGGTTAAAAATAAAATAAGTTAAAAGAAAGAGTAATGAGATGGCACAGTGAATGGTGGACAGGGCTTATAAGTCTGATTTCATATCCTGCCTCAGACACTAGCGGTGTAACCTTGAACAAGTCACTGAACCTTTGTCTGCCTCAGTTTCTTCATCTTAAAGGGACAATAATACTATCGAACTCCCAGGGTTGTTACGAGGATCAAGTGAGATAATATAGACAGAAAAGTTTGTCGGCATCAAAACGGGGATGAGAGGTCTTCTGACTGCTGGACCAGAGCTTTCTATCAACCACCTGACGCCATCTGACTTCAATGTCAAACACATGTTCTTAAATGAAGTCAGGATTTGGCCCCTTCTTATTCTGGGATCAGAACAGGCTGCTGCTTCTGCTCAGTCTACGCCAAACCATGTCTTAAGAAGACAGAGATCAGAACAAGAAAAGATGGGGCCAAACCACAGAATCCCAGAATGAGAAACCACATGTGTATCTCAGGTTGAGTGAATGTGTTTCCCCAGACCACACTCCCCAGCTCCCTTTAGTTCAGCACGGCATGGTTTGGTTCTTGGGCTCTTCAGAAGGCAGCCTGCTAGAAACATTCTTTTTCTCTATAAGCTTTTTCTATCTTTATGAATAGCTCTTGGCATGGTTCTGAGAGGCTGGAGGGGTACTGGGTATGGGAAGTTGTGGTCACAAAGTTCCAAGTTGCAAACCCAAGTGCCCTTTCATTCATTACCAGTCTTGGCAGACTCTTCCTCATTGCTAAGTATACACACACAATCCTCTATAACAAATCTACAACCCTGAGCCTTTATCTTTGTGAAAGCCTTTGCTGAGTAAAAGGTTTTCTAGTTACACAGGCAGGAAAGGGGTGCGGGATGTGGGGATGGAATGAGAAGAAGAACGTACTGCCACATAAGAGAAATGCCAATGATTCAGTAAGGAAAATGACCAAGAAGGGTTGGTGGCAAGCCTATCTCAGAAGAAGGGAAATGCTGCTCCTAAGGGCTGCAAAGTACAAGGCACAGACAATCATGCGGGACTCTGAAAGTGCCAGAGAGCTGACCAAATCCCACATCAAAAGTTTTTGATTTAAACTATTGGAAAAAATTTTCCCCCAGTGGGAACATGCTTCCTTTTAAAAATATGGGATATTAATAGGAAAATATTTGATTTACAAAAATTAAAAAAAATTTCTGTGGAAAAAATTACAATTTTTTTGGAGGACAGCTCTTTTTTTAAAGTGAGACATTGGTGAAGCACTTAAAGATCAGTACAGTACTTTTATTTTATTATCTATATGCAATATTTCAATATGTTTAGTTTATTGGGAATAAATGATTAGGTTTATTATTCGGAACATGTTTACTTAGATATAATTGTCTGTTTCAGATTATAAGCTCATAGGAGAGGAAGCATGTCTTTATTCTTTTTTGTTCAGAACCTGAAACAGCACCACAGAGACCTGGGTGATCAGTCTCTTATTACTACTATTGTTATTATTATTTATATGAATGACTATCATAAAGATGATGAATATTCATATTTCCATAGCATTTTAGACATTCTCTTATTTGAGCCTCACAAAAACCTAATGCTCTATTTAGGGCCTGTACTATTGTTCCCATTATTATTATTCCCTTTTGCTAGAAGAGGCAACTGGTTCAGAAGGGTTAAGCAGCTTGCCCAAGATTACCCAGCTAATAAGTACCTTAGCCAGGAATGGGACTCAGGCATTCTGATGCAAATTCCAGCACTCTTTCCATGTGTTTTTTCATGACAGTGATGATCCTTAGATAGGCTCTGCCATGATGTCAGGGACTACTGATCTCTTCTGGTCACAATGGTTCCTAGACTGTACCTAACCTTCCACAGTCCAGAGTTCAGCCAAGGATCTCCAAAGTTAGCCTCTTTCTCTAACAGAGGTTAACTCTGGGTTGAGTGGGACCCTTTAGAGGTCCCAGCAGGGCCTCTAAAGGTCAGGAAGAAGCCAATGATCTTACCTCTGTATCAGGGTCCCAAAGAGAAGATGAAGGGCTTTCTGCATGTTCTCAGTACATAGCCATCTCCATTGCTCCATCATCAGCAAGAGAAGAAGGTCCAGGGCTGTGTCAGCTAATGCTGTCTCTGACTCTGGAGACAGGAAACGGCTAGGAGTAACTTAGTGAAAGGGCCTTATGCAAAGCAGAACCCTGGATCTCCTCCATTTTCAAATCAACCCCTCCACATTTATAGAATTCCTCTAATTCAAAGTAAGCTGGCAAATACTTAGTGACTAGTATGTACAAGTTGGAGTGTATATTTATACTTTATATCCTCCATGTCACATGGTAAATGGAAGCGGCTAGATTGTGCAGTGGATAGAGCATTGGACTTGGAATAAGGAAGACCAGAGTTCAAATTCTACCTCAGACACTTACTAGCTGTGTCATCTTGGAAAAATTACGTAACCTTTGTTTGCCTCAGTTTCCTCCTCTATCAAAATGGAGACAATAATAACACTTACTTCCTTGGGTTGTCATAAGGATAAAATGAGATAATGTTTGTAAAGTACTTTGCAATCCTTAAAGCATGTTCTCTCTCTCTCTCTCTCTCTCTCTCTGTCTCTCTCTCTCCACACACACACACACACACACACACACACAGTCAAACACAGACACACACACACAGAGTTGGACACAGATGAAATCACTAAACAATAACAACTTCATACATAAAGATATCTGTGGGTTGCATATTGACTCAATTTTTTTGAGGCAATTGGGATTAAGTGATTTGTCCAGGGTCACAAAGCTACTAAGTGTGTGAGGCCCAATTTGAACTCAGGTCCTCCTGACTCTAGGGCCAGTGCTTTATCCATTGACTTAGTTTTAAAATGTATTGTTATCTATGTTTTATTGTATTTTCATTATTTTGTTACATAGTTCTCAATTATATTTTTATAGTGCTTTAAGCTATATATATAGTTTTCATATATTATATTTAATTTTAGACAAAAATGCAACATATATTACATTATATATTATATGTAATATAGTATACATGTATCTATATACGCTAGCTATTGTTATGATGATGTATTTTTAGGGTGTATGTTCTATCTGCCCAGTCAGCTCTGTGGGTAAAGGAATTGTGTCTCAGAATCAACGAATCTCAGACCTGAGTCTGAAAGTGTGAATCCCCTGCTGTAGCATTCCCCAGAGGTCATCCTGCCTCTACCTGAAGACTCCCAATGAGTAGAAGCTCACCACTTGCTAAGAAAGCCATACTGCCTTTGGACAGCTCTGATTGTTAAGAAGTTCTTTCTTTGCTATAGAACAGCCACAACTTGAATAGGGCCCGTCAAATACTCCGTCTCCTATCCTACTCATCCTCATCCAGTCTCATGGAACGTCAGAGGTCTCAGAGGGCCTCAGAAGTCATCTAGTCCAACCACCTCATTTTACAGAAGGAAAGACAACTGGGGGTTTAAGTCACTTGCACAAGTCCAGAGTTAGTAAGTGGCAGGGAGAAAATTTGAACCCAGGCTCTCTGACTCTAGTGGTCTTTCCATGTTACCATGATGCCTTTGGAGGAAGACTCAACTAGAGAAACTTGCTTTGAAAATATAATAGCAGTGGAACCACCAGTTCGTGGATCCACCGGCTTGGGATTCAGGATTTCAAGATACTGTCTATAATTAGAAAGGGCACAGCTCATTCTGATACCTTTTCTTTTTTCCCTTTTAGTAAAATAGAAATTATAATTCCTGATCTCTCCCATTGTCATGGGTGGACTGGTTGACAAAAGAATAGTTTTGCACAGTCAAAGGTAAGCAGGCTTCAGAATGGCCTCAAATCCTTTCCAATTAGCCTGGCGAGAGCCTCAGGATACCTAGGACTTCATATATACTCTAGGGAGAGTGTATAGTTTAGACCCTTTGGTCTAAACTTCCATGGGCATATCTCAACAAAGTCTTGCTCCTGTGGGTTGGTCCCAGAATTGGCCTGATTTCCATAGAGTTTCCTGGCCTATTGATTCCACAATTGGTTTGACATAATTAGGACTAGAGTCATAGAATTTTAAATCTGGAAAAGATTACATGATCATAGATCTATAGCTGGAAGAGGTCATTTAGGACAGTGGTATCAAACTCAAATAGAAATGGAGGATAGTATACCATACATGGGTAGCTGGGTGGCCCAGTGGGTAGAGTGCCAGGCCTGGAGTCAGGAAGACCTGAGTTTAAATCCAGCCTCAGATACTGAATAGCTGTGTGACCCTGGGCAAGTCCCTTAAACCTGTTTGCCTCAGTTTCCTCACCTGTAAAATGAGATGGAGAAGGAAATGGCAAACCCCTCCAATATCTTTGCCAAGAAAACCCCAAATGGGGTCGTGAAGAGTTGGATACTAGTAAAATGACTAAATGACAATAATTCCATACATAAAGATATTGGTATACAATTGGTACACAAAAGATACAGAAAACATACTGACTGTTTTAAAATGTAATGTTATCTGTGTTTTATTTTGTTATATAATTATCAAATATATTTTAATCCGGTCTGTTTGGGCACTCAGGAGTGTTGAAGGTGGGCTATGTATTTGATAGCTCTGATGTAGGTCAATGTCCTTACTTGACAAATGAGGAAATTGGAGCCCAGGAAGGTGCAATAATTCTCAGGTCACAAAGGTAGTCAGTAGCAGAGTTGGGATTAGTGCTTTCCTGTACCACTCCCATCTAGTATTTCTTCTACTGTTCAGTAGCAACTTAGACCTGGATATACCTGCCCCAACCTGCCCAAGTTTGGATTTCTTGGTTTTGGGCTGGATTCCAAGGAAGGGTGGGGACTAATTAGATAACTGGCATCTAGTCATTTCTCCAGGGGTAGGACATTAAATTCCAAGATAGGCAGTGGCTTTCTGAGCCTCATTCATCTTTTACAGTATAATTCAATCCAGGCAGCTTTTAAAGCTGATATCTGGAGCTGCCACCTTGTGGCCCAAACTGCTTACTGCTTAGTGGAGCCAGAAGAAGAAAGGGACAAGGTACCTTGTGAAGAAAAATGGGAATCTCACTCCCCCTCCCCCTAGACTTTTGGCTCTATCAAGGTACAGACGGGGGTGGCAGGAAATAAGCATTTATATAGCACCTACTGTGTGCCAGGCACCATGCTAAGTGCTTTCTTTACAAATATCTCATTTGATGTGCCTGATGACAGGCTCACACACAAAATACGAACATTAGGAACTAATGGCCCACCATTTACGTGCTAGTATTTGTGGGAATAATTCAATATTATATCTCCTTCCAGTTTGAGAGTCTCTTCTCTTTTTATTTTTTTTAAATTTTTTTAGACAATTGGGGTTAAATAACTTGCCCAGGGTCACACAGCTAATAAGTGTCAAGTGTTTGGTTTGAGGCCAGATTTGAACTCAGGTCCTTCTGACTTCAGGGCCAGTGCTCTATCTACTGCGCCACCTAGCTGCCCCCTCTTCTCTTTTTACGGCACTTTACTACCACAACATTTAATCTCCTTGCCGTCAACATTACCCAGTGAGGTAAGAAGGCGCAGAGGTTACAAAACCGTTCTCCAGATGGGAAAACTGAAGCCTCAAAATTTAGAGTCTCAGTGAGTCAGTGATAAAAACACTACCAGGTTTCTCTTCCCCTCCCCCTGACCCCATTCTAAACTCAGAAGATTACACTACTGTTATTATTTCCAATCAGAGCGAGAACAAAGTTCATGTGATAAGCTCAGAAATGCCCTGTCTCAGAGGATGTCAGGACCAAAGATTCCTTTTTTTCTGTCACAGTGGTACACATACTCAGTTTTCCTGGTGGCATGGATACCCTGTGAGAGGCTATGTTTTTGTCATGGTTGTTTAGTTGTGTCTGACTCTTCATGGCCCTACTTGGGGTTTTCTTGGCATAGATACTGGAGTGGTTTGCCATTTCCTTCTCCAGCTCATTTTATAGAAGAGGAAACCAAGGCAAAGAGGGTTAAGTGACTTGTCCAGGATCACACACCTAGTAAACGTCTGAGGTCAGATTTGAACTCAGGAAGATAAGTCTTCCTCACTCTAGGTCTGGCACTCTATCCACTGTACCTCCTAGCTGCCTCTATGTTATAGATATAGATATACATATAGATAAATATAGATATACATCCATCCATATATATGTGTATGTATATATGTGTGTGTGTGTGTATTTGTATAAACTAAAGAAATACAGAAACAACTTAACTATCCTCAAAGGAATTATAGGATTAGAGGGAGCAGGGATATCTCTAAGTGTGCAATAAAATTTTAGTTTTTTATTTTTGCTTGCTTGCTTTAGTCTGGCCTATGATTTCATTCATGTAGAAAACCCCTAGAAAAGAACTTCCACTGTTAGATGTTAAGAACTCATTTGAAACTTCTAATCTCGGTGTTTTGGGGGGCAGGGAGAGGGGTCTGAGAAGTTAACTCATGGCCACACAGTTAGTATGCGTCAGAGGCATGGTCACAGGATTCTAGATCTAAAATTGGAAGATATTTTAGAGGTCATTGAGTCTAACCCTTACTTTTTTTGTGTGAGGCAAACTGGGGTGAAGTGACTTGCCCAGAGTCACACAGCTAGTGAGTATCATGCATCTGAGGCCGGATTTGAGTTCAGGTCCTCCTGACTCCGGGGCTGGTGCTCTATCCACTGGGCCACGTAGCTGTCCTTGACCCTTACATTTTAAGGTGAGGAACCTAAGTCTCAGAGAGGCTAAGTAAGTCCCACAGATGGAAAGCCAGGATGAAAGATTCTCTAGCTCCAGATCCAGAACTCTTTCCCCTGGCACCATGAGGCATCATACCTTCCGGGTAAACGTCAGCACTTCCCTCCCCTCAAGGAGAGTATGAGACTCAGGGACTGTACCATCTTTTGTCCTGATATCCCCAGTGCCTAGCGCAGTGCAGCAGATATAATACTTGCTAATATTTTTGTAATGTTTTAAGGTTTACAAAGTACTTTGCATACATTATCTCAATTGAGCCCCATTAGCATCCTTTCAGGTAGGTGCTGGCCTTATCCTCATTTATGAGGAAACCTAGGTGAAGAGAAGTTAAATGACTTGGCCAGTGTCACACAGCTAGCAAGTGTCTGAGGTAGGTCTAGTCCAAGATGCTGTCCACTGTATCCAAGGTGTCAGACTTGTGGCCCAAACTGAGCCAGAGTACAATGTAATTGGGGCATGTTTAACAAAATCCATAAAAATGCCACACATATCAATAATGCCAATTTGTGATTTTCTAAGTCAATTTATGGCCCGCAAGGATTCATTTCTATTTGAGTTTGATACCAATGCCCCATCCTGCCTAGCTGCCTTATAAGACTCTCATAAGATATAACCTATGATTTTCAAAGGTAGCCCTGCAAACCTCTGCCCCTGATGAGACCCATGCCTGGGTCTTGGAGATCTGTTTTCCCACCAGCTTTTTCCATGGCTCATTGCATCATCAAGATATAAAGCTGTTCTTGCACCAAGCAGGACCCCTCGTGTGAGGTTGGCATACGTGAATGAGCCTGGATAATTTTGTACAAGGGAAACTGAATTCTGATGAACCCATTCTAGGCCTCAGAAGCTTGAAGAAGTGTGCAAGCATTTAAATGGTCCAAAAGTAAGCACCCTGTTGATTACCTCCTTTGCAAAATCAGGTGGGGAGGGTGGCACAGATGACCTCTAAGGTCCCTTTTAAGCATGTGATGCTAGTCAGTCTCCTCTGAGCTTCAGACACTCTGGAGAAGCCTTGAGACCACAAAGTCCAACTCTAGTGACCTGCAGATGAGACAGGAATTTGGCTCCTACTTTTCTATGAGGCAGGGGCATGGTGACTTACCTTGGTCACTGTTGCTCTCATCTGGAGCTGAAGCAGCATTATCTGAGGGGCTCTCACTGCAGTCATCTGTGCATTCTTTGGGGGTCTGCTCAGAATCCTTTTCCAAGGCTTCTTCTGCCTGTATTTCCAGGAACTTGCTCTGCTTTTCAATAAACGACTCCATCCCAGAGATTGACAGGATGTCTGACTCCTGGAGAAATCAATTGGCATGGGTGGGTAGAGAGAATCATAGCAGCAAGAGAAGGCCCAGAGATCAAATGCAGTTGTATCAATCCCTCCCTTGGTGTGCACTTACACAGAAGTCATAGTGTACCCTGATAACAGTCTTCCTTCATCCTGGAGAGGAAAGCTTCTATTTACTAGTTAGCTTGCAACTGAAATGATATCTCACTTAATTAATACTATACACTTAGGCTGCAGGTATTTTATCTTAGGGTAGTCTGTCCCTTCCTAGGACTGGTTTCCCTCCTTATTTATGCCTTTCCTTCTATCATAAGCCTATGCCACTTATGAAAGCCAATCAGCCAATTTGGAGTAACAGAAGAAAAAGAAACACTCCAAATATGTAGAACCACAACTTTTATCAAGACAATAGATTCTGATGTTAGATATGCTCGGCTTCAGAGACTCAGCCCCAACCTGGAATTTAGGAATTTCCCAATCACTTGTAATACCATGATCAAACACAGTGGCTATTGACCCTTGAAACTCCTGGGGAGTTCTGTTCTTACCACATTACTTTCCCGGAGGCAATATAAGACCTTCTCATGCGATTCAGCCACATTTAATACAGGAGCTATTTTGCTAGATGGGAATCTTAGCCTAGACCTGTAAGAAGAAGGATCACAGAGTAGCAAATGATATGGATCTTGGTCTCCAACAATCATATGATTTGTTCACATATCTCAACACAGAAAAACGTCAGCACTTCTTTCTACTGGTCCCATCATAGCTAGGCACTATGTACCAAGACTCTGAAAAGGTTGTGCATTCTGGGAGCTAAATAGAAATTTGAATTGAGCTGTGGTTTCCCTATGCCTTTGAATTTGACAGTAGTATTTGACATTGGACAGGTGGCACAAGATAAAGACATGAGAACAACTGTCCTTTTTTGCTGGCGCCATTTCTGAAACTGTATTAGCCTCCTCAGAGGCTCTGCCCCAAAGTCACCAGGGAGAGAGCTGGTATCCTGATACTATGCAACATGGAATACTCATTGGTCCAGGCATCCCTAGGGACCCATAAAATATAGGTGTGGGTGATAACAAGGTAAGGACATTGATCCCTTTATGGTGACAAAGGAGTATGTTGAATGAATGACTGAGTACATTAAGATTATTAAAGATATCATGTTTAGAGAGAGAGACCTTGCCTGGTCTCTGAAGCAAACAAAAGTCCTGGAAAGGGGAAGTTCCTGTGTTTCTGCTGATGTTGACTTCAAATACTTTTAGGTTAATGCCTGATGACCCTTGGGCTGACAAGATGAATTGTGCTCAGTCTGAAATCCAATGATTAAAATAGGCTCTGTAGACTTTCATTTTGGCCTTCTAATGAAGTCTTGATTACTGATATATGACCCCCTTAAGATTTGCAGGTGTTGTGCAATTGTGTCTGACTCTTTGTGACCCCATTTGGGACTTTCTTGGCAAAGATACTGGAGTAGTTTGCCATTTTCTTCTCCAGCTCATTTTACAGATTAGGAAACTGAGGCAAACAGGGTTAAGTAACTTTCCCAGGGTCACACAGCTAGTAAGTGTCTGAAGCCAAATTTGAACTCAGATCTTCTTGACTCCAGGCCTAGCACTTTAGCTGCTGTGCCACCCAGCTGCCCAAAGATTTGCAGAAATAATAGCAAATAAATGTAGGTTTATAGCTAAGGCTTTATTTTTGAGAGCAAGGGAATCATGTCACTCTTCTAGGAAAATGCAACAGGGGAAAATCTCCAGATTCTGGAGTTTTCATTCCTGCCAAGAATCCCAAACTACTCTGGGTTCCTGTGGCAATAACATACATTAAGTAGTGCTGCCCACCCACCACCCTTTGAGACCCCAGTGGGTGGATCACTAACATCACTTAGCATGTTTCAGGATTAACTTTACAGAGACTGGTGTGTGAATTTTCCTCCTTTCTTGGCCTCAAAGATCAGGGATGGTCTCTGAGTCAGGATCAAGGGGGTCGCCCAATTGAGAGGCCAGTGTCCCAAGACAGAGCTCCAAGGAACCAAGAGATGTCTTACTTATTGGCCTTCTTGCCCTCTGTCTGAGGCTTGCCATCTGTCTCTGCTTCACTCAGATCTTCTGTAGGGCTCTGGGGTTCTGAGCGAGGAAACGCAGTCTTTAAGGTATCCACTATGGCACTAACTACCATCTGTATGGGAAGAAGGAGCTGAGGTTAGCATCATCATTCACACACATTCTTCGAATCTCTAGTCTCCTTGAAGACTCAGCTGTAACGGTACCTCCTACCCAAAGCCTTTCCTGGTCTTCCCAGGAGTTAGCTCTTCTCTTTCTTAAAACAATACCTTGTACCTTTTTTTTTTTTTTTAAAGATAACTGCAATTCAATGTAATTGGTTTCCTTAGTGATACTATGTATTTTATCTTATACATTTAAAAGCATTATTTTGAGAAGGCATAGGTGTTACCAGACTGCAAAAGGAGTGTATGACACAGAAAAGGTTAAATATTAGGGGTTAGTGAAAATTTTAGTTAGTGTGTGATTTACTTAGTGTGATTTTTTTTCTCCTTTCAAGTTTATAGACCATGGACCCCCTTAGGGATCAACGAACCCTAGGTCAAGAATCTCTGCTCTGTAAACTCCTTAAGGACAGAGACTGCTCCGTCTTTGTCTTTATATACCCAGGCCTAACAAAATGTTTGCCACGTAAAGGTTGTTAATTCATGGCTGTTGATTGACCAGTGGATACACAGAGAGAAGCATTTGAAGGTGCAGACATCCCATGACACATAAAGCTTAATGCAAATAGGAACAGAGGATCTATGTCAGAGACTTGTGCTTCTGAAAAGTCAAACAGTGGGCAAGGCATGAAAACCGGGGAGGATGGCCTCCCAGGAAAGCTTTATCATGTGTGTATGTATGCATGCATGTATATGCATATGCACATATACATGCACACAACACAAATATACACATATATGTATACGCCTACATTATGATTTATATGTCAACTGATATATGTGATTTATATATAAACTGATACATATATATAATTTATATATAAACTTACATATATGATTTATATATCTAAACTGATATATCAGTTTAGATAATATATTAATATATAACATGACATTAATCTATATCAGTTATTACTATTAATGATATAGATATAAATATAGATCAGTCATTACTTTTATTATTAATGATATTTTATTGTTGTTCAGTTGTTTCAGTTGTGTCTGACTTTTTGTGACACCATTTGGGGTCTTCTTGGCAAAAATACTGGAATGGTTTGCCATTTTCTTCTCCAGCTCGTTTTACAAATGAAGAAACTGAGCCAAACAGGGTTATGTGACTACCCCAGAGTCACACAGCTAGTAAGTGTCTGAGACCAAATTCGAACTCAGGAAGATGAGTATTCCTCACTCCAGACCCAGAATTCTATCCACTATACCAACTAGCTGCCTCATTAGTGATATGTTTATAGATATAAATATGTAAGTTATTACTCTTATTATTAATGAGAACACTTTCTTGGCAGGCCACCCTTCCCAGTTTTCATTCCCTATCACTTGCCCACTGTGAGATTATATATATGTATAATATATATATTATATATGTATATATAATATATATGCCTATATATATACATACTCACACACATATATACATACACACATATATGTATACATATTATATACGTGTACATACATATTACTTTAAAGTTTAAAGCACTTAACTTACATTATTTTGTTTGACCTTTGAAACTGCTGTGTAATATAAGCCCTCATTTTACAGATAAGAATACAGAAGTTCAGAGAGATGAATGTATTTGTCCATCCATGGTCACATGGCAGGTATTTAAGACAGGATTTGAATTAAGGTCTTCCTGACTGGAAGTTCAGCCTCTCACCTTCTACATATTTACATTTTCTTTCTTCATATTTTTTAATGGAAAAAAAGTTTTATTTTGAAAATACCTTGCTGAGTTTAGGATGGTAAGACCACTTTAAAAATTATGCCGGTGAAAGTGTGTGGCAAGAGGAAATGATTCAGGAATATGGGAAATAGTCCAGAAGAGAGAGCTGAGATGAAAATGTCTCTAAATACTCTCAAAGTGAAACACAATCACAATTTGCACAATCAGGTCTTTCTGATCAGAAAACCACATGTGTATCATTTCTATGAAACAGTTTGCTTTTCCCTAGAGCAAAATAATAATTAAAATTCCTCTGGCCACAAAGAAGGCCTCTGGAATGTGATAGCATGGCTCTTTGTATAAGGCAAAGCACTTTGAATACAGGATCATGGGAACATAGATTCAGAGCTATAAAGGACCTTAGAAGTCTTCTTGCTCAATTCCCTCCTTTTACAGGTGAGAAAAACTGAGGCAAAGAAGATTAAATGACTCGCCCCAAGGTCACATAGGCAAATGTCAAAGGCAGGGTTTGATCCCAGGTCCTCTGGTTCAAGAATCAGTAGGCTTTCCCCTGTAGTACCATGAATGTACCCCCCCCCCCACTCCAACTCATATTCTATATGTAAAGGGACAAGAATTATGATTCCCATGCTTGGTTCAATGAACAGCGTGCTAGGCTTGAAATCAGAAGCTCTTGTTTGAATCATGGTTCTGCCATTTACCATCTGTGTGACCTTAGATGAGTTGCTGAACCTCTGTGATCTTCAGTTTCTTCATCTCTAGAATGAGGGGATTGGACGACATGACTTTTGTCAAACTCAAATAGAAATGGAGGCCACTAAACCATACAAAAAGATCCTTATGGGCCACCTATTGACTTAGAACACCTCATATTAATATTGTTGTTCAGTTATGTCCAACTATTTGTGACCCCATTTGAAGTTTTTTTTTGACAAAGTGGATTGGTTTGCCATTTCCTTCTTCAGCTCATTTTACAGAAAAGGAATTCGAGACAAACATGGTTAAGTGACTTGCTCAGGGTCACACAGCAGGTAAGTGTCCGAGGCCAAATTTGAATTCCGGAAGATGAGCCTTCCTGACTCTCAACCTGGTGCTCTATCTGTTGCACCACCTAGCTGTCCCTATATTAATATTATCTATGTTTTATTGCATTTTTATTCATTTTATTAGATATTTTCCACTTGAATTTTAATCTAGTTCAAGCAGCACTCAGGAATGTTGTGGACCACATGTTGGACACTTCTAGGGTAGCTGACTCTGAGATCTCTTCTAGGTCTGAATCTAGAATGCTAAGATCCTTTGAAGAATGGTGACTCGTTCACAAAATAACGCAGGGGAATGATACAACCAAGACCAAAGGATCACAGTTCTAGACCTAGAAGAAGAGTGGCAATCACAATCAGCCCCCTCACTTAACAGATGAGGAAACTGAGGTACAGAGATGTTAAATGACTTGCCCAGAGGCATACGCAAGTAAGTATATGAGGTAGGATTTGAACCCAGGCCTTCCTCACTCCAAGCCCAGTACTCTATCTACTCCACCACAGCAATGAGGACCCAGGTCTCTCCACTGTTCTCTTGACCATTGGTGCTCCAGGCTCTATATTGACAGACTCAGACTGAGATTGGGCACCTTCTCCCCATCGGTACCTTGTCTATTCTTGAGACCATGAAAGGTTTCTTGACAAAGGCAATTCGAGCATCTGTGTTGAGAGCCAGGAATTCTTGCACCTCTTCACTGTTGGCAATCTCAGGGATGGCACACAGTTGCTGCAAATGCAGGAGAAGATGGGGATTAGACTCTTCCTCTCATTATTGCCCATCTTGGGAGAACAGCTGTGACTTGCTGGCTTTTGGGGTCAATGGAGAAAAGTTACCAACCTTCAGGAATGATTCCAGAAGACTCTTACGGGCTTCTACCCTGTCGCTGTCCATGTTTCCAAATGGAAGATCGGGAAAGAGCTTCTTGGGACCCTTCACATCTAAGAAAACAACAATAATTTGTGTTGTATATTTATTAAAACAAATATTTATTAAGAGTTCCCTTTGTTCATAAATGTTATATACATATATATTGCCACAATCTCAGAAGAAAGCAGAGTATTTCTCCTCTGGGACTTTTATGCACATAGCAGAGAGGAATAAGGAAATTTGGATACAGTACCAAGCATAGCACAGAGCCTACCTCTGGTATTTATGGGGAAAGACAATCATACATAACTGAAATTTAGAGACAAATCTAAAACTCATGGAAGTGCTTTTTTAGCCTTGTTCCTCAGAGATTAGGGACTGATCTCATCAGTAAAAGGAACTCCTTAGGGGTGGAACTGCCTCTATCAATGTGAATCTGCTACTTACTGTTTTAGACCTTTATCGTGTCATGGATCCCCTTTGAAGGCCTGTAAAGTCTATGGACCCTTCTCAGAACAATGTTTTTAAATGCATAAAATAAAATACATAGGATTAAAAGGAAACCAATTATACTAACATAGTTAAAAAAGATTTATTAAAAAAATCACAGGCCCTAGGTTAAGCACCCTTGTCTTAGAAAGTCGCGTAGAGAATTCAAAAGTTGAGTGTTTTGACAAGGGTCACACAAGGCAGTATGTGTTAGAGGCTGGCCTTGAACCATGGTCTTCCAAACTTCAAGGCTGGCTCTCTATCCACTATACCATCCTGCCTTTCAGGTGGACTCTTCTTTACTTACCACTTCTTCAGCTGCCCTTGGGCTTTGGGCTCTGGGTCACAGAAAGAGCCAGTTCATTCTCACTACTCCCTCTTACCTCCCATGGAGGAGCAACATAAAAGCTGAAAGGGAGGCTGAGGAAGAAGAGACTAATAACTAACCCAGAATCATGGATTTAGAGGCAGGAAGGACCTCGGAGATCATCCACCCGACCCTTTCTTTCTATAGGTGAGGAAACTCACCCCAGGGAGAAGTGACTTGCCCAAGGTCACATAGGTGGTGAGTTACGAGTCAGGGTCAGGATTCCAACTTCTTACCACAAATCCAGCATTCTTTCCACGGTATCACAGTAGTAATGGAGTCCTTTTCTGTTTACTGAGGGCTTTAGAGATATTATCTCACTTGAGGCTTGGTACAGCCCCCTGAGACAGGTGTTACATTTATAGACATGGAAACTTGGACAGGCCAAGTGATTTGCCCATGGCCAGAGAGAGCTAACAAAGTGCCCAAAGAAACTAATGGTACCTGGATAATATACTGTCTAGATACGCAGTCCCTGAATTAGTAAAAGTTGGGGTAGTCCTCTCCTCACACCCCACCCCTACTCCAAGCTCTACTTAACTTTCTGAGCTTGAGTACAAATTTGAAAGTTCTGAAGTTTCTCATGTGTGTGTGGTTTGTCCTTGACATCAGGAAGCAAACTTAGTGGGACCTCTGGATGAGGAAGTTAGGGAAGGAGAACCCAGTCAAGAGTAAAAGTCATTCCTTCTTTTCTGGGGAAAATTCCAAATCTCCTGAAGCCCACTCAGGGCCTCTGGAAAATGGAATGTGAACATCCTTGGCTGTTCACTGGTCCTCTAGCAATCAGTGATGGGGTACTTTCTATCTCCAGGGCATTGTGGTGGATATGGAGAGATTACAGGAAATACAAGGGTGGGAAATATGGAAGGGGGTTGGGGCTCCTGACTTTTGATGAACTTCCGTAGGTCCGGCTTCTCCTCCAGTCTGGTCTGCAGGTTCAGGAACTCTCGATAGCGACGGTTCACAGTATGGTAGGCCACCTGCTGAAGGCCGCTGCTGTTCTCACTGTCAAGAGCTGTCTCATACTGTTGAATAAATGAATGACTTGAATTAATGAAATAAGCTTTCCTAAACATCTACACCATGTGGTTTTGGCCTTATTGATTACTTAGTTCTTGGATACACAGTCCTAGAATTGTGGGTGGGGTGGCAACTCTGTCCACAGCCCTTAATTAAATTTAATTTAACAAACATTTAATAAGGACCTACTATGTATGAGGTACTGGGGAAAGGGAAAAGGACTGGATCTGTGATTTTCTTAGTAGAGGGAATTCCCAGATAAAGGACATTTCCTCTACCAATGCAGGTCAGCATCTTCTCTGAAAGTTGCCTAGAATACTGAGAGATCAAGTGGTTTGCCAAGATCTGAACCCATCTCCTCGTGACTCCTAGGTGAGCTCTTGATTCATTGGGCACTGGAGAGCCAGAGACAAAAATAAAAGTTTTGGCCTCCAAAGAGCTTACATTCTACTGGGAGAGACAATACATATGCAGAAAAGTGAATACAAAGTAATTTTAGGGAAGGAAAGAACACTAATAGCTGGGAAAAATCAGGGAAGGCCTGGTGTGGGAGGTAGCCCAGGTGTTGAGTTTTGAAGGGTGCTAGGGTTTCTAGAAGTTGAGGTCGAACATTCCAGACATGGGCATTTCCTATAGAAAGACACTGAGGTGGGAAATGGAACACTGTGTGCAGAGAACAGCAAGTTGGCTACTTTGGCTGTAACACAGAATGCATGAGGAAAAGTAGGAACTGTCTGAAAAGATAGGCTAGAGCCATGTTAGGAAGTTCTTTAAGTGGTGGGGAAGTTTGTATTTTATCCTAAAAGCAATAGGGAGCCATTGAAGCTTTTTGAGCAGGGGAGGGACATGGCTCAACCTGTATTTTAAGACTATTTTGGCAGCTTTGTGAAGGCTGAATTGGAGAGGGAGAGAACCTGAAAATGAGGAGATCAGTTAGGAGGCAATATCAGTAATCTAGACAGAGGTGAAGACGGAAAAAAATGAACTAGAGTGGCGGCTTTGAGAGAGGAGAGAAGGTTGGGAGATGTGGAGATAGAATCAATGGAACTTGGCAAGTGATTTAACACAGGCTTGAGGGAGAGTGCAGAGTCAGAAGTCAACACTCTAAGGTGTTGAACCTTAGTGACTGGAAGAGTGGTGATGTCCTCAACTGAAACAGAAAAATTACATGAAGGGTCAGTTTAGGGAAAAAAATAGTGAGTTCTATTTTAGATATACTGACTTTGAACTGCCTATGGGACATCTAGGTGGATACACCCACTATGCAGTTGGTGATGTCTTTCTAGTTTTCTCATCCCTTTCTCTCTACCTCCTACTCTAAGATGCAGGGACATTGGCCTCAAACAACTCTATCTCCCAACTCGAGGCTGTCCCTTATGCCTGAAATGCTCTCTCTCCTCACCTTTGCCTCCTGGCTTCCTTCAAGACTTAGCTTAAATCCTGCTTTCCACAGGTAGTCTCCCTTCCTTCTCACTTCCTTTATAGCTGTTTGCTTGTTATCTTCTCTGTTGGAATGCAAGCTTCTTGAGGGCAGGGACTGTGCTTTTGCCTTATATATATGCTTAGTGCTTAGCAAAAAATCTGGCATGAATTAAGGGCTTAATAAATGTTTGTTGACTGACTGATGTAGGACTGCTCAGGAGAGAGGTGAGTGCTGGATGTATAGATTCGGGAGTCAATTACATAGACATGATATTTCAACCCAAGGGAGCTGAAGTATCACCATATAATTATTGCATTGGGTTGTGGACTGTACTTGTAACAGGTACCCGCATTTGCTAAGTCAAGACAATTTGTATTTGGACATAGCATATGTGTGTTGAATGTGTGCCCACTTTTCAAATCCATAATATCTAGTGTGACCAAAATGAGAAGCATTTCATCTGTGCAAAATTACCATGATCTCTTCTTTCTCAAAGTATGGGGTGGTTTTTAGAGCAGAGTGTAATGCTGTTTTGTAATTGTAGTCAATTCTTGATTATTTGTACTAATAGAATAGGGGAAGATACAATTTTAAAAGAATAGCTGAGTTTTTAAAAATTTTGCTTTGCAATGTATTATATGAATTTGGTGGGGGGCAGCAGATTTGCCTTCCTAATTCTATTTTTATATTAATATGAAATTATATGTATATATATGTATATATATATATATATATATATGATGAGATTACATAATATATAAAACTGGATGAGAAGTGTGTCAGAGACTTGCCTTGGACTAAAAGTTGACTTCAAATCCTTCACATATGTAAACCTATTGAATTGAATATGAATAATTGAATGCTAACTAGATTGTCTTCAGACTTTACCAGGCAAGAATAGTATCTTTTCCCTACTATTCCTCAAAGCTCACAGTGAATAAGCCACAGTCACAACCCATGACCCCATTACCTTCACTGTGTAGAGAGTATAGGGGTGGAAACTGGTTCCGCTGTGCTCCCGAGCTGTGATGGTTCCAGTGATCCGTAGGTTTTGAATGACAACCGGGCCATCGGGGCTGCTGAGGGGCTCAAAGCTGAAGGTGGCTGAACTTAGGGGACCTGGTGGAGAGGAGGAGAGCAAAACCTGGGGCAGGCTGGGGTCCAGGGGACTAACATCATTGGTTAGATCCTTCTCGAGGCATGAAGGCCGAGGAAGACAGGTTCTCTCTGGCCCTTCCAGCAAAGCCGTTAGGGAGGTGAGGTCTTCTTGTTCGTCTTCTTTCTCTGCTGAGTTGATCTGGATTTCTGGGCAGGGCTTGAGCATGGAGGCCAACAAGCCTGCGTCTACCTCTGGACCTTCCTCAGTTTCTGTACCTTCAGGTCCCTCTCCTTCCTCCGGCTCCAGAGCCTCTGTGCCACCCTCCAGGGCAGTTAGGGCATCCTGAAGCCTGTCAGTGAGGAAGTCGCTGGGAGTCATGAGCATGATAGAATCTGTGTCTTTGCCCAGGTCAGAAAGAGGTGAGTCCAGTTCTGAGTCCTCACACAAGAACAGGGGCCCTCGGGTATCTGGTTGCAGAAAGTGGGATGCACTGTTTCCTGACTTTTTACCCTCTGATTCCATATTCAGTACTCCTTCTAGAGCCTCTTGGCCTTCTTCCACCTCTGGGGAGTGCCCTCCTAGCCTCTCTGGCCCGCTGTAGTTTGGAAGTGTCAAGGCTCCTGCTGGAGAGAGACTTCTTATCTCGGGCAGCTTTTCCACTGGAATAGTAAGTGGCAAGGACCTGGGCACCAGGGGCTGATTGGGTTGCTTTGCTGGGCAGGCTGACTCAGCCTCTTCAGTTGTGCCTGCTTTGGCCTTGGAAAAGATGCCAACTAGTACAAGGTGGATCCAATCCGGATCAGACATCTTGCTAATGAGTGGCAGGAGCACATTGCATGTGATGAGCTCCACAACCACATAGCGCCCTGTCCTGGTTTCCAGATGGGGCTTGGGTGTCAGCCCCTGGAGTATCAGGTCCACAATGCCCCTGGCATAGTTCACTTCTGCCCTGGGGCTCTGCACAGCAGGGTGGGAGGCAGTGGCTTGGCAGTATGCTTCCCAAAGTTGAGATGGCTCAGCTTGGACACCCAGCCTCCCTGTGGCCTCCTTTGCCTTCATGTAGCTCTGCAGGTGGCAGCCACACAGTGTCAGAACCCTGTGGGTTAGGTCTTGTCTGTCCACCATTCCCATCCTTCTCCTGAGCTCCTGGGCCATACCTGTCATTGCCGCCCGTACCTCCTCCTCAAAGGCTGGCTCATTGCTTACTGTAGAGTACCATGAAGACACAAAGTCCCGGATGATCTTCTGAATGGTGTGGTCGATCTCTTGGTCCAGCTGGCTCTCGGCCTCAGGGCTGGTAGGGCAGCTTGACAGTGTGATGAAGCGCTCTAAATGCAGTCGGCCAGTGACCCCCATCATAGCCTGTGAGCCCACCCAGCCCCCCAGAGCCACCAGCAATACTGAGAGGATACACAGCAGCCACACGTTGACCAGTAGGTGCACCATCAGCAGCCATCCCACCATAGCTCCCATGGCCATCAGCTTCCGGTTCCCCAAAAGGTGATTCAGGCTTGACCCAGCCTGGGTCCCCTGGGATGACTGCATCTTCTCTGTTTTTATTGTTTAGAGGACACAGCTGCTACTTCTCCCTCTGTCTGCTCCCCTGAAGCTACCAGGTCCTCCCAGGGGTTCATGAACCCTGGAGATGTTACCACAGGTAGCAGAGTTACGGTTTTAGGAGGGAAAGTGAATTCAGTATCTTAATTGACCAGTGTGGGGGAGGTTCTGAACCAGGGAAGGAGGCAGAGGAATTAAGCTCTCACAGCCTTGAATGGGTCCAGATTGATGCAAAGGGCCTTTAATCTCTCCCCCTTTGCTGAAATCATCACCCAAGAAGTCTGTTAAAGGAGATCCCCAGGGCAGTGAGACTCCATCAGGGAAAGCCTCTGCCCCATTCATTTCCAGGAGGACTTGCCAATCAGGGGAGCTAGAAAGCAGGGCGATGACCCAACCATCTCCTCCCAGCTCCAAATCCCCACTGGCTCACCCTTGATCAGGATGGGCTCAGGCAACGGCAAGGGGAAAGGCAGGGGATAACCAGGAGAGAGAGTGCTTGCTCAGTGGTCAGGGCCCTCTGCTTGGGGTCTCTCTCCCAGAAACATCTCACGCAGTCAGCTCCTAAGTCAGCTCGCTCTCTGAGAGCCTCCCGCTTCCTGGACAACATCAGCTGTGGCGGCGAGAGGTGCAGGCTGGGAGAGGAAGGTACGCCAGCAGACAGAAGAGAGCAAAGCAGAGCAGAGCAGAGCGGCTGCTCTCTTTCCAGTGCCATCTAGTGTTAAAGCCGCCGCCTCAGCAGCAGCAGCAGCAGTGACCGCAGCTTCCCCAGCCCTCCTGTGGACACACCCCGTGCTTACCCAGAAGCTGGAGCTCCATAAGGGAGCTGAAAAGCCTGAGAAATTGCTCAGGCCCTGGGGGAAAACCTCAAAGCCCACCTGAGCTCATCTGAGTCTCTCCAAAAGCCGGGGTCTGCAATGCCTTAGTCACTGGGATGAGGTGATCACAGACGACAGAATTTTCAAGCTGACAGAGACCATCTCCTCAAACTCGCTCTTTTTGGCAATTTCAAGTAACAAGGGCTGGAAAGAGGAAGTTATTTACCAAAGCACTTTGCATTCATTCATTCTTCACAGGAACTTCCCTGAAACGGCAAGGACTTTTCATTTTTTTTGCCTTTGAATTCCCGGAACCCAGCACAGTGTCTGGCACTAAAGTCTAGGCCCTTGACAAATGCACGTGATTGCTTATTTCATTCAACCAATCAACCAACATTTCTTAAGTGCCTACTATTTACAGTAATAATAGTCAATATTTGATGGTGTTTTAGATTTACATTAAGTCTTTTTCCCAACAATCCTGCAAGGTAGATTGTGCAAATATTATCAGTCCCATTTTTTTTCCCCCAGGAGTGGGTCAGGCCTGTGATTTTAGTGATGTAGAGAACTCTCAGTGAGTAAAGTCTCTACCAATGCAGACTAACAGCTGCTCTTCAATTAGTCTGAGGGAATAGTCATTTTACAGATGAGAAAGTAGACTTAGGGCCATTCTGCAGTCAATAAATGGTCAAAAAGTATATGAACAAGAATGAAAAAATGCTCTAAATAACTAATAATTAGATAAATTAAAAAAAACTCTGAAGTTCCACGTATAGCTGTCACTCAGTTATGTCTGATTCTTCATGACCTCGTGGATGGTATCATGCCAATACTGTCCATCGGGTTTTCTTGGCAAGGATATTGGAATGGTTTGCCATTTCCTTCTCCAGTGGATTAAAGCAAATAGAGGTTAAGTGATTTGCCCAGGATCACACAGCTAGTAAAATGTCTGAGGCTGAATTTGAACACAAGTTTTCCTGACTCCAGGCCCAATGTTCCATTCACTGAGCCAACTAGCTGCCTTCAAAGTTCCACCTACTAACCATCATTTTGGTAAAATTGACAAAAAAGAAAAATGATAAATGTTGGATAGCCTGTGGGAAAACAGGCACATTAACCTGCACAAAATAATGAAGAGTGAAATGAGCAGAACCAAAAGAACATTATATACAGTAACAACAAGGTTGTTTTAAGAGGAACTTTGAGTGACCAAATCACTTTGGCTATTATAAATACTTAAATTAACTACCAAGGACACATGAAAGAAGACACTATCTGCATCCAGAAAAAGTCTGATAAATAGAAGTATGTATAGAATGGTTTTACACATATATATATTTGTGTCTAATGGTAGCCATCTCTAGGGTGGGGAGGGAAGGAAGAAAAAAAGGGGGAAAAGGAAAAAAAGAAAGTTACGTGATAACTTTATTATATATTTAAAAGGAATAGCAAGCTGTACATAAGATTTGCAGTTTCATGTACAATCATTTTTTTCCTATTCTACTATGTTATAGAAATGATTGTTTTATTTCTTAAGTTCAGAATAAAATAAAATTTTTAAAAAAGGAAGAGCTGTGAACTGTTTCAGTCATTCTGGAAAGCAATTTGGAACTATGCTCCAAAAGCTATTAATCTGCACATACCTTTTGACTCAGCAATTTTATTACTTGGTTTTTATAAGAAAGAGATCAAGAAAGAGGAAAAGGACCCATATGTATAAAAAAACATGTGTAACTGCTTTGTTTGTGGTAGCAAAGAACTGGAAACCAGGAAACCCATCAATTGGGGAATGGCTGAACAAGTTATGGTATGTGAATATGATAGAAAATACTATTATGCTACAAGAAATGATAAAGGGGATGATTTCAGAGAAACATGGTAAGACTTGTATGAACTGATGCAGAGTGAGGTGAGCAGAACCAGGAGAACAATTTATACAATAACAGCAATATTTTAAAGTCAATCTACCTTGAAAGACAGAAATGCTAAACAACACAATGACCAATCCACAATTCTGGAGGACTCATGATGAAACACGCTACCCACATCCTGAGGGAGAGTTTATGGACTCAGAATCCAGATTGAGACATATCTATATCTATCTATCTATCTATCTATCTATCTATCTATCTATCTATCTATCTGTCTGTCTGATCTGTCTACATGTAGCTAGCTAGCTAGGATATCTATAGATCTATCTATATATTTATATATGTATACATATATGTACATATCTATATCCAGATCTATATGTCTATATCTATATCTATATCTATATATCTATATATATATATGTTCATATGACATGGACACTGCAGTAATTTGTTTTAACTAAACTTGTTTGCATGGATGGTTTTGTTATTTTTGCTTTCCTAATGGGAAGTGGGAGGGAGAGAAGGCAGATCTTTGTTTGGAAAAAAAATAATTAAAAAAGAAAAGATGCTCAGAGAGGTGTTTGATACTGAAAATTTAAAAAAAAATGGTCTGGATTTGTCTGGTTGTAATTTCATTTGGGTAGGAAAGCTCCTGATACATACATTTTCTTCCTCCATGCAAATTAGCAGCTTGTCTCTCTCTTGCAGATTCCAAGAGTTGCTGAGGCACTGGGAGTTTAAGTGATTCGCCATGGTTGCAGAGCCAATATGTGGCAGAATACACATCAAGCTACCTGGTGTTTGATCCAGGACATCTATCCAGGATCTCACAGGCCACTGGTGATGTGCCTCCTTTAGGAGAAAGAAAACAGGGATGTAAATAATTATGACACAAAACAATTCTTTAAGTATAGAGATCCAAATCATTCTTTTTCTTCTTAACGCTATTCAGTCGTGTTCATATCTTCTTGACCCCATTTGGGGTTTTCTTGACAAAGATCTTGGAGTGGTTCATCATTTCCTTCTCCAGCTCATTTTACAGATGATGAAACTGAGGCAAACAGGGTTAAGTGACTTGCCCATGTGTCAGATTTCTACAGTGTCTCAGGTCAGATTTGAACTCAGGAAGATGAGTCTTCCTGACTCCAGGCCTGGAGTGTCCAGTCCATTGTGCCACTTAGCTGCCTCAAGATCCAAGTGGGAAGTGATAATCCTGACAGAAAAAGTGGGGGAAGGATTCAATGAAAGAGATGGTATCTGAGGAAGGGGAGGATTTCATTGGAGTTTTAAAATATCTTCTACTTCATATGGATAGCCAACTTGCGATGATGTGTGAATTATCTTCTTTATGACCTCGCTAATTTTTAATCCCATGCTCAAATTCCCAAACTACCTCTTCTTCCATTTACCTAGTTTATTAAGAAATGAAAAATAATTTGAATACTAGCCTAACCAAAATATAATTAGGAAGGTAAATCTTCCATTTAAAATAATATAATGTATCATAAACCAATTACATAAGATTGTTTGGAACTATCCATTTGCTTGTGAAATCAACAAAATTTTTTATCACTTTCCATGTGCTAGGCACTGTGGGGGAATGAGCTGTATAATCTCTATGTAGAGAAAAAGTGTATATTCAAGAAAAAAACAATAATGAACAATTCAAGCAAGTATAGTGTAAATAGCCAAAGAATATTATTACATAAGTGTTTTATGATTTGGGGGGTGGAAATGGGGGAAAAGTACAGCATGGGCTGGGATGATAGACCAGACAAAGGAGAGAAAAAGGAATCAAAGTCCGATTTATTCTTTCTCTGATGTCCAACCCTTTCTTACCATTCTGACTGCCATCTACCTCCCCAGTTCAGGGTCTCTTTATCTCTTTGCCTAGACCATTGCAAGAAGCTGCTGACTGTTCTCCCCTCCTCTGGTTTCTCCTCCCTGCCAATCTATCCTACTTTTCACTGCCAGGTAAAGCTTCCTAATGCACAGCTCTAATCATCATTCTACCAATCAAAAACTTCCAATAACTCCCCATTGATTGTTAATAAAGTTCAAACTTTCTTGCATGGCGTCTAATGTCAATAGATGTTTATTGTATTTAATTGAACTGAATTTAAGGCCTTCCACAATCTAATTCCAATCTACCTTTCCAGTGTTATCACACATGCCTCTACCTCAGGGATGCTATGCCTTGACCACTTTGTTCTACTTACTGATCTTTGAACATGTCTCTTTCTTCCTCCCTGCAAAGAGACACATTTGGATTTGATTTATAGAAAGATTTCTTAACAAGTAAAGACATCCACAGTTGAATGTGGTGCCTAGGGCTGTAGGGAGCTCTCTCTCATTGAAAGTCTTCCACAAAGACTGGGAGATCACTTGTCATCTATATTGTAGAGGGGAGGCTTTTTCAAGTATGAATTCCACTAGATGGCATTTGAAATCTTTTCCAAGTAAGTTCTATAATTTTGTCATGCAACTCACACTATTGGATACAAGTGAAATGCCCTTTCTCCATCATTCAATGATGAGTTAAAATGTTTTTACTTTTTAAAAAAATCTTTTCTTTCTTGTGAACTTATCAACAAATATTTCAATGTACAAAAAAAGAACAAGACTTATGAGAAGCTATGAACTTTTAAAAACTTTCTTTAAAAATATTATATATTACATTTAATGAATACTCAATTTGTGTTTGCTTCAATATAATTTTGTTTTCTGTGCACTAAAAACGTTTTATCGATGTTCTCTTTCTTTTTGTTTGTATCTGTCACTACTCAGTAACCCATCACTCTCTCTTCCTCTGCCCAAGAAGAAGCCCTTCTTTGTAACAAAACGTATACCTACTATGTGTAAGTACCTAATGTATGCAAGGCAATGTGCTAGGTACCTCCTTTGTGAACTTTTCT